AGACATACCATCATAGGCCGCTTTAGTAATTGCTTTAGCTGCGTTCTTCTGCACATCAGGAATTGCAGAGTTTTCTGCAAATGAAAGGAGCTTTTTAAGACTCCCATTCTGCTGAATAAGCATCATCGTATCCATATCCTCCAGGCAATTGGCTATCACTGAAAGTGCTTCTACATGAAGGTCACTCAATTCCTAATAATAAAAGCCAATACAACTTTAGAAAGCTGTACTAAAAGAAATTTCCACTTTCCAAACTTTACTACAAGAGGGACATAATGTAATTAATTTTGCTGTGACAGAGGCCCTGGGAAACAGTTTTGTTTATCAAAGTTATATCACTCCTCCTAACCATTTGCCCCATCTTTTCTCATTTCCCTTACTCCAAAATGTGTTATGGAAAAAAAAAAAAATAATGCTAGAGAGGAAACTTCCAGTGATGGTAGCCCATGATGTTGCTCCCACAATCCACTGGAAACTATTTCAAAATCGGGAGGAAGTATTTTTTGAAGAAGCAGACAGAAGCGGATGAAAATATATTCCTTAAAACTTACAACTGGTGGAGGGGAGTGTTGTGAGTTTGTGGCTATTTTGCCTGAGAAATCTCCCAAATTCGCATGGCAGTGGAAAACCACAGCCTTACCTGTACAGCTAGGAATTTAAGGGGGAAATTTTTAAAGTGAGAGAAGTACAGAAACGGTGATCCACCATCATGGCATTCCATACAGCATTGCTTCTGGCCAAGGAACTCACTTCACAGCAAATAAATTGTGGCAACGGCCCATGTTCAAGCCATTCACTGGCTTTACCATGTTCCCTACCTTCCTGAAGCAGCTTGATACAAGCATAGAGGAGACTCCAGGGACCCTGATGAAAATAAACAGGTAGGGACTAGAAAGTAATGTATATCTTGTCCATGAAAGAGGGAGCAGTGCTAGGTGAGATTTGTTAATTTACTGCTTTTTAAATAGGGTGCATTCCTCAAGCCACGTGCAGCTCAGCTGGCAGAGAGCTGAAGCTTTACTGGCTTGGGGTGTCAGAGGTCAGAGCCTGAGGCTGGCAGAGGGGCCATGCTGACCACCAAACTACAGAAGCTCTGGGGAGACCTCCAGGGACTCAGGCTAATATAGCAGCAACTAGAAACCATAAGAACTGAGCTGTTGCACACCACAAGAGAGACAGAGCTTGCAGCCGACTTCCTCCTAGAACAAAATATCAGCAGTCCTCAGAAGAAGACAACAGAATCTGGAATCGCTAGAATGTATTATCTACAATGTTCATTTTTAACCAAAACTTACTAGACATGCAAAGAAACAGGGAAGTGTTACTCAAGCTCAGGAAAAAAACGCAGTCAGTAGAAATCCACTCTGAATAGGGCGAGATGTTGTTGAATCAAGTAGCTGAAGACTTTAACGCAGCCATTATAAATATGTTCACTGAGGAAAGCTCAACAGAGAAATGAAACTTCAAAAATGGAAATTTTAGACTTGAAAAGTACAAAAACTAAAAAGAAAAACCCAATCTTAGGTGAGGATGGGAGAAGCACTTTTATTTTTCACTCTGTATGTTTTTTTGTATTCTTTGAATTTCTCCCACTAGAATATATGTGTATTTGTTCTGAAAAAATATCCTTCTCATATATTTCCTAACGCTGATCATAAGTAACTTATTCAACCTCTCCAAACCTCATTCTTCAAATTTTTAAAATGGGATTAATGGTACAATAATTATATTGTTA